TTAAGTCAGTGGATAGAAGCTGAGTTGGAGCGAGACTTCAGTGATGTGGACGATGAAGAAATGGATCCAGATTTCTGTTTGCACAGTGATCATGACTCGGCTTCAGAACAATCTGAGGATGAAAAAACTCAATCTCAACGACAAAGATCACCCCGCAGTTTAATTGCGATGCAAGATTCAGGTCTATCTTCAATACAAGATAATATACACACAGAATCCCAAAGATACTACATAGGTAAGAATGGTTTTAAATAGTCAAGCGATTAACAAGTGATGCGTAACTGTCGTTCACTAAGCCACAACTTGGTTGACATACCTAGATCACAGCCTAGAGCATTCACAAACCTAGAAACCTTGTGGACACATTTTATAGATGACGATATTACAGACAAAATAATTGAATATACCAACAAAAAACTTGCCCAGATACGGGTAAAATATAAAAATCAGGAAAAACCTGAGCTTCGGAACACGGACGCAGAAGAAATGAAGGCTTTCTTCGGGTTATTATTGTACTCATCTGTCTTCAAATTTAACCATGAGAATGCCAAATATATCTTTGCTACAGATGGTTCAGGCCGAGAGATATTTCGTGCAGTTATGTCTCAGTATAGATTTCTTACACTTTTGAACTGCATTCGCTTTGACGATGTAGAAACCAGACAGCAACGACTAGAGACTGACAAACTGGCAGCAATTTCGGATATATTTGAAAAGTTTATATCTAATTGCAAAAAAGTTTATGTACCCGGTGCTTACTTATGCGTAGATGAAATGCTTGTTCCCTTTAGAGGCCGATACAAGCTCATAATTTATATGCCCAAAAAACCAGCAAAATACGGACTTAAAATTTTGTTAGTTTGTGATGCTGAGACATTTCCAGTCTTATTCCAAAAAAATGTTTTAGTACTGGGTTAAGTTTAGGAGTAAGAAGTCCAGGTTTGTTACAATATTCTAGTTAATACCAGCACTAAAACGTGTGCTTATTACAAAACGCAGACTACCCGAGGACCAGTTAATACCAACGTTAGTATTATATTAAATATCATTCACAGATAAAAAACAAAAAATGACACTCTATCATTCGTTCATACAGGTTTCATTCAATGCAACGTTCGGTTTCATAAAATATTAATATTATTTTCACACTTAATTATGCTTAAATAATTATCCATCAATACAAAAACATATCATACATTGTTATTTGTTTACGTTAAAATCTAGTGAACAAGCACGACATATACTTTTTACGCGCTTTTGATTATATCAAGTTGTTTTCAGTTTAACAACTCTAGCGTGAAATGTAGTGAATTACAGAGGTAACGCGAGCGCGGGATTCGAGACGTTCAAAATAGTTTATATTGCAGCCTTATAATAAGTAAATTAAATTATTAATAATTAATTAAGTACTTGTTATTACAGTTATATTTATATAATAATGGAACAAAAGAAAAAACGGGGTGAAAATTGGAGTTCTGAAGAAAAGGTTAGTGAAATATCGAAATTTATTTGTCAGTAGGTAGCAATACTCTTATCCTCCTATTATCCTTATTTCAACTAAAAGGAATGTTCTTATTATTATAGGAAATATTACGTACACTTATTTCACAATCAGCACATATAATAGAGAATAAGTCGACAAAAACATCGGTAAATATTCAAAAAATAAAAGAGTGGAAGAATATAACTAATAAGTAAGTACTTATCGCATTTGTTATGTGTACAAATAGGTACGGTATTGTTTACGTGATTTCGTATTTTTTTTTTAGATTTAATGAGATAACAGGTAAACGCCGATCAGATGGTGAATTGAAATTATCTTGGAAAAGAATGAAGTTGTGTGCTAAATCAAATTTATACACATATAGGAGGGAACAATCAATGACCGGCGGTGGCGGAAAACCTCCATCACCTTCTCTTGAGGACTTGGAAATAATGTCCATTGCCCCTCACGACTTTATCGTTGAAGTTAATAATTATGATAGTGATGCAGTGGTAAATAAAATTACTTACATGTCTTACAAATTTAATTAAAATTAAAGAACTTTATTTTCCATTACTTTAGTACCTAGGTAGTGCTCTGAAATCTACTCTTAAAACATACAATTTATAATCCAAAATTATTTTCCGAATATTCAAAATTTAATATACTTAGTAACAATTTAACATAAATTTCTTTATAATTAATTATATTCAAAATTGAAATGTCACAAATTCATATATAGTGGTCTATATAATATCATAACACACATGTTACTAGATTATCTACACAGTCCGATTATAATTTTCTATTTTTGTCTATTAGGTATTATAATTAATAATTTATTAAATTACCTTTTGTCTTGGATCATAATAATATTTCTACAACATAGAAAATATCTGATTCAATAAAGGGCAAAATACAGGTGACAGGAAAACATGTTAATAAATGTTTTAATGATTTATTTTAGGATCCAGTGACTGTGGCTAGAACATCAAAAGAAGTTGCTGACCCTAAGCC